CGAGCCTCCACTCCAGACTGCTGCCGATGTCCAAGCATCTATTGCTCATGTCATGAGAGACTTAATTTCAGCCTTAGAAGTGGCATCAGATCATAGAATTTCCGATCCACCTTCAACTTTGACAATTCCAATTTTTGATGAGGCAACATCAACCCTAGAGGGTTCCGCTCCAACGAGCATAGTTCTGAGCTCTATTGGAACGGCCTTAGCCTCGGAGGACCCAACTCCTACAGACACGGCTCCAATTGCTGGTGGAATAGTTCCAAATCCGGAAATTCCAGTTCTAATGGAAGCGGTACCGAGTCCTGATGGAACAGCTCCAGCTCCGGAGGATCCCATTCCCACTCCGGCGGATCCAGTACCAATGGAAGCAGCGCCGGGTCCTGATGGAACAGCTCCAGCTCTGGAAGATTCGATTCCGACTCTGACGGATCCAGTTCCAATGGAAGCAGCACTGAGTTCTGATAACTCCGAGCCAGCTGTAGACCTAGCCGTAGATGATACTCCTCCAACCGTACCTTGATTTTGGGAACCACTCGCCTTCTTCCATGTTATCCTCGGCATCACCTAGATTTTTTGTTTTGCTACTTAGAACAATTCACTTCCATTTTGTTTCATTTTGCACATTAGCGGCTTAACAGCCTGCTTCCATTTTGTTAGCAGTCTGGAAAAAAACTTGCTTTCATGTTGTTTTGTATTTAGCGGTCTGGAAAAGACCTGCTTTCACTTTGTTTTGTATTTAAAGGTCTGGAAAAGACCTGCTTTCACTTTTTTTTGAATTTAGCGGTCTGGAAAAGACCTGCTTTCACTTATCCATTTCATTAGCTTCCATTATCAAAACTCAAGTGGCTACATATACCCCTTGAGGTGCCTAGCATTAATGACATTTCCATGTTCCGTCCTATGAATATTCCTCAATCTATAAGCACCATTAGGCAACATTTTACTTACTTAATACGGACCTTCCCATGTAAGAGACCACTTTTCAAAAGTGTTATCTTTGAAGCCTTCGGGTAATACTGTTTTCCACACCAAATCTCATTCTTGGAATGCTCACTGGCGTACTTTTTTATTGTAAGCTCCTGCTACTTTCACTTTATTCATTCAAATATTCTCCAAGGCCATCATCCGATCTTCGTGTATGTCATCCAACCTTTGTAACATAGTTTTGTCATAACGCTCGGGATTGAGCAAATTCTGCTTCAAGACTCGTAAAGATGGCACCATAATTTTCAATGACAATATCGCTTCTTGCCCATAGACCCATTGGAATGGGGTGCAACCAGTGGCTTTACTTCGGTATTACCTGCAGGCCTATAAAGGCTCCCACAACACTTCGTGTCATCTTCTCGGGTTGTCTTCCAAAGACTTTTTAATTACTCCAACTAAAACTTTATTGGCTGCTTCGGCCTACCCGTTTTCCTGTGCATAATACGGGGACGAATGAAAAAGAGCAATCCCATATTATGCAACAAAGGTGACCACTCTATCACTGATAAACACGGTGCCTTGATCAGAGGTAATCGTTTGTGGAATTCCATACCGGTGAATAATGTGTTCCTTGACAAACTTGACCACTTCTTGATATGTCATGTTGGCCAATGGTACAGCTTCGATCAACTTTCTGAAATAATCAGTGGCAACGGATATGAATGAATGGAATGCTCGCCGGCATACTATTTTGTTGTAAGCTCGTGCTACTTTCACTTTATTCACTCGAATATTCTCCAACGCCATCATCCGATCTTCCTGTACGTCATCCAAACTTTGTAACATAGTTGTGTCATATTGCTTAGGATTGAGCAAATTCTGCTTCAACACTCGTAAAGATGGCACCATGATTTCCAATGGCAATATAGCTTCATGCCCACAGACCCACTGAAATGGGATGCAATCAGTGGCTTTACTTCGGTATTGCCTGCAGGTCCATAAAGGCTCCCCCAACACTTTGTGCCATCTTCTCGGGTTTTCTTCCATAGCCTTTTTCGTTACTCCAATTAAGACTTTATTGGCTACTTCGGCTTGCCCGTTTGCCTGCGCATAATACGGGGACGAATGCAAAAGAATAATCTCGTACTGTAGGGCAAAGGCGGCCACTCTATCACTGGAAAACATGGTACCTTGATCGGCGGTAATCGTTTCTGGAATTCGATACCGATGAATAATGTGTTCCTTGACAAAATTGACCACTTCTTGATATGTCACGTTGGCCAATGGTACAGCTTCAATCCACTTTGTGAAATAATCAGTGGCCACCAATATGAACGAATGGAATGCTTGTCGGCATACTTTTTTGTTGTAAGCTCATGCTACTTTCACTTTATTCACTCGAATATTCTCCAAGGCCATCATCCGATCTTCGTGTATGTCATCCAACCTTTTAACATAATTGTGTCATATTGCTTGGGATTGAGCAAATTCTTCTTCAAGACTCGTAATGATGGCACCATGATTTCCAATGGCAATATCGCTTCTTGCCCATAGACCCACTCGAATGGGGTGCAACCAGTGTCTTTACTTCGGTATTGCCTACAGACCAATAAAGGCTCCCCCAACACTTCGTGCCATCTTCTTGGGTTGTCTTCCACAATCTTTTTCATTACTCTAATTAAGACTTTATTGGCTACTTCGGCTTACCTGTTTTCCTGCATATAATACGGGGACGAATGCAAAAGATTAATCCCGTACTGTGCGGCAAAGGTGGCCACTCTATCACTGGAAAACACGGTACCATGATCAGCGGTTATCGTTTGTGGAATTCCATACCGGTGAATAATGTGTTCCTTGAAAATCATGAACACTTCTTGATATGTCACGTTGGCCAATGGTACAGCTTTAATCCACTTTGTGAAATAATCAGTGGCCACCAATATGAACGAATGGAATGCTTGTCGGCATACTTTTTTGTTGTAAGCTCATGCTACTTTCACTTTATTCACTCGAATATTCTCCAAGGCCATCATCCGATCTTCTTGTATCTCATCCAACCTTTTAACATAATTGTGTCATATTGCTTGGGATTGAGCAAACTCTTCTTCAAGACTCGTAATGATGGCACCATGATTTTCAATGGCAATATCGCTTCTTGCCCATAGACCCACTCGAATGGGGTGCAACCAGTGTCTTTACTTCGGTATTGCCTACAGACCAATAAAGGCTCCCCCAACACTTCGTGCCATCTTCTTGGGTTGTCTTCCACAATCTTTTTCATTACTCTAATTAAGACTTTATTGGCTACTTCGGCTTACCTGTTTTCCTGCGTATAATACGGGGACGAATGCAAAAGATTAATCCCGTACTGTGCGGCAAAGGTGGCCACTCTATCACTGGAAAACACGGTACCATGATCAGCGGTTATCGTTTGTGGAATTCCATACCGGTGAATAATGTGTTCCTTAAAAATCATGAACACTTCTTGATATGTCACGTTGGCCAACGGTATAGCTTCGATCCACTTTGTGAAATAATCAGTGGCCACCAATATGAACGAATGGAATGCTCATCAGCATACTTTTTTGTTGTAAGCTCATGCTACTTTCACTTTATTCATTCGAATATTCTCCAAGGCCATCATCCGATCTTCGTGTATGTCATCCAACCTTTTAACATAATTGTGTCATATTGCTCGGGATTGAGCAAATTCTTCTTCAAGACTCGTAATGATGGCACCATGATTTCCAATGGCAATATCGCTTCTTGCCCATAGACCCACTGGAATGGGGTGCAATCAGTGTCTTTACTTCGGTATTGCCTGCAGAGCAATAAAGGCTCCCCCAACACTTCATGCCATCTTCTTGGGTTGTCTTCCACAGGCTTTTTCATTACTCCAATTAAGACTTTATTGGCTGCTTCGGCTTACCTATTTGCCTACGCATAATACGGATACGAATGCAAAAGAGTAATCTCGTACTGTGCGGCAAAGACGGCCACTCTATCACTGGAAAACACGGTACCTTTGGTAATCGTTTGTGGAATTCTATACCGGTGAATGGTGTTCCTTGAAAATCATGACCACTTCTTGATATGTCACGTTGGCCAACGGTATAGCTTCGATCCAATTTGTGAAATAATCAGTGGCCACCAATATGAACGAATGGAATGCTCGTTGGCATACCTTTTTGTTGTAAGCTCGTGCTACTTTCACTTTATTCACTCGAATATTTTCCAAGGCCATCATCCGATCTTCGTGTAACGTCATCCAACGTTTGTAACATAGTTGTGTCATATTGCTCGGGATTGAGCAAATTCTGCTTCAAGATTCGTAAAGATGGAACCATGATTTCCAATGGCAATATCGCTTCTTGTCCATAGACCCACTGGAATGGGGTGCAACCAGTGGCTTTACTTCGGTATTGCCTGCAGGTCCATAAAGGCTCCCTCAACACTTCGTGCCATCTTCTCGGATTGTCTTCACAGCCTTTTTAATTACTCCAATTAAGACTTTATTGGCTACTTCGGCCTGCCCATTTTTCTACGCAAAATACGGGATGAATGCAAAAGAGCAATCCCGTACGGTGTGGCAAAGGAGGCCACTCTATCACTGTAAACACGGTACCTTGATCTGCGGTAATCATTTTTGGAATTCCATACCGGTGAATAATGTGTTCCTTGACAAACTTGACCACTTCTTGATATGTCACGTTGGCCAATGGTACAGCTTTGATCTACTTTGCAAAATAATCAGTGGCCACCAATATGAACGAATGGAATGCTCGTTGGCATACTTTTTTGTTGTAAGCTCGTGCTACTTTCACTTTATTCACTCGAATATTCTCCAAGGACATCATCCGATCTTCGTGTACGTCATCCATCCTTTGTAACATAGTTGTGTCATATTGCTCGGGTTAAAGCAAATTCTTCTTCAAGACTCGTAAAGATGGCACCATGATTTCCAATGGCAATATCGCTTGTTGCCCATAGACCCACTGGAATGGGGTGCAACAAGTGGCTTTACTTCGGTATTGCCTGTAGGTCCATAAAGGCTCCCCCAACACTTCGTGCTATCTTCTCGGATTGTTTTCCACAGCCTTTTTAATTATCCCAAGTAAGACTTTATTGGCTACTTCGGCTTGCCAATTTTCCTGCGCAAAATACGGGGACGAATGCAAAAGAGCAATCCCGTACTGTGTGGCAAAGGCGGCCACTCTATTACTAGTAAACACGGTACCTTGATCGGCGGTAATCGTTTTTGGAATTCCATACCGGTGAATAATGTGTTCCTTGACAAACTTGACCACTTCTTGATATGTCACGTTGGCCAATGGTACAGCTTTGATCCACTTTGTGAAATAATCAGTGGCCACCACTATAGATGAATGTCGTTTGGAGGATGGCGGATGATCTTGCCGATGATATCCATCGCCCATCCCCAGAATAGCCATGGTTTCACGATCGCATGCATTTCTTTCGCTGGAATTCGGATCAAAGGACCATGTCGCTGACACACTTCATATCCTTGAGCATACTTGATACAATCCTCTATCATTGATAGCCAAATATGCCCATACCGTCGAATCATCCATCTCATGAGTAATCTGGATTTATGTGCTCCGCAAACCCCTTCATGCACCTCACCCATCACCTTCATGGCTTATTGAGTATCCACACATTTCAGTAGCATTCCATCGGCGGCTCTGCGTAAAAGATCTCCATCAATCAAAGTCTATTTCAGAGTCTGCCTCCGTAGCTTTTTAGGGGCATCACCGGCTGGTTGTTCCAAATACTTTCTTAGTTCCGCATGCCAATTGTCTGCTTCCACTGGGCACAGACAGACTCCCCCTGACTTGAAATTTCCTCGGGCAGACGGCTTATACCCAAAGGCTTCTTGAGCTAAGTCATTCGCTACTCCATTCTCAGCTCAAGGTATGAATTCCACAACTGCGTTGTAAACATTTTGCAACATAGTAGCTGCCTCCATTTGAAGGCTTCTCAATTTTTCACCTTGCACTGGAACTCACCAGAAATTTGCTTAAGAATCAAGTGTGAATCCCCTTGAACTCTGATCACCTTATCTCATTTTTTTATGAAGGATCCTCAGTCCAACTAAGAAGGCTTCATACTCGGCTTGATTATTAGTAAATCCGGACGCCAATGGTTTGGCAACGGTCCATTTTCTTCCCCATGGGCTTTTAACAACGATACCAGCTCCAGTGCCGGTTTGCGTGCTGGAACCATCAAACTTCAAGATCCACGGTACAGGACTAATGACAACTTCCATACGACCAGCCGCTTGCTCGGATATCGAACTCGGATGATCTGCCAAAATTAGCAACAACCTGCCCTTTGACAGCTTTAATTGGTGCATATCATAAATCAAAAGCAGCTAGCTTTACAGCCCATTTCGCTTGCCTCCCTCTCAAAGATGGTCTGCTTAATAAACATCTTAAAATATCGATATGACACACCACTTTCGTCTCCCTCGGGACAAAATAATACTCAAGTTTTCTGCAAGCATACAAAAAAGCGAGACATAATTTTTCCATAGGAGTGTACCTTGTCTCCGCATCGTTCATTACTTTACTGAGATAAAAAATGGCACACTCGCTTTTGTCGGGAGCCTCCTGCGCCAACAAGCAGCCGACCGTATTCTCGGTGGCCGAAACATATAAGCCTAGAGGTTTACCTACTTGCGGTGGCATCAGCACTGGCGGATTGACCAAAGCTTTCTTAATAGCTTCGAAAGTCTGCTGGTGTGGCGCCTTCCACACAAATTCCTCCATCTTCCGCAATTTGAGTAAAGTGGAAAAAGCTTTAAGCTTGTCCGCAACATTCGAAATGAATCTTCGCAAAAAGTTCACCTGCCCAAGGAATCCTTGGAGTTGTTTCAGATTCTTAGGCGGTCGGCCATTGATGATAGCTTTTGTCTTCTTACTGTCCACCTCAATACCCTTATTATGCACCATGAAACCCAAAAAGTTTCCAGAGGCCACTCCGAATGCACATTTTGCTAGATTCATTTTCAAATTGTATTGCCTAATTCGATGGAAAGCTTGCTCAAGATCCACCAGATGTTCCAAAAAAACCCTTAGCTTTCACCACGATGTCATCGATGTAAACTTCCACCGATTGTCCAATTAAATCGTAAAATATGGTGTTTATTGCTGGTTGATAAGAAGCTCCAGCATTCTTCAACCCAAATGGCATTACCATCCATTCATATACTCCAAGGGCCCCTGGGCATCGGAATGCCATTTTTGCAATATCCTCCTCGGCTATGAAAATTTGGTTGTAGCCGGAATACCCATCCATAAACGAAAGACTTTCGTTCATGGCGGCTGCGTCCACTAAAATATCGGAGATGGGCATAACATACTCATCTTTTGGTGTCGCTAGATTGAAATTGTTGTAATCAATGCATATCCGCAATTTTTTGTTTTTCTTAAGTACGGGAACCACATTGGCCAACCATCACGTATCGACAAGTTCGAATGAACCCTGCCCCAAAAAGCCGCTGAATTTCTTCCTTGATTTTTGGATAGACATTTGGATTAAATCTCCACGGTGGCTGCTTGTGGGGTTTGTATCCGGCTTTTATGGATAATCGATGTTTCACGAGTTCTCGAGCCAAGCCTAGAATTTCATCGTAATCCCAAGCAAAGCAATCCCGGTATTCCTTTATAAGCATTACCAAGACGGCCCGAGCTTCTGATGTTAACAATGCACTAACTTTGGTGATTCGTGGAACTTCATCAGTGCCCAAATCAATGTCTTCCAGTGGATCTTGAGCCTGGAACGTTAGGTATGTTTTGTGCACGGGTGATGGTAATTCTACTTCACTGAAAACTTCCCTTGATTGTTCTGAACTGCCTTTCGAAATTTTTCTGAGTAGCTCTGGACCTTCTATGGGGCGTGCTCTGGTTGGCTCTGAACATTGCGCAACGGAGCCTGCATCGAGCGCCTCAAGATTTTTCAAGGAGCCTGCTCTGGACAGCTCTAAACCTGCAATGGAGCTTTTTTTGAGCGGCTTAATACCTTCCATGGAACCTGCTTTGAACGGCTCTGAACTCGCAATGGAGCCTGCTCCGAGCGGCTCATATTGAATTTTGTCACATTCGAAATTCATCATAATCTTCTTCATTCATAGGCCATCGGTCGGCCCTCGCTTGAACCCTGAACTTCTTATCACCAAACACACACTCATATTCTCCCTTGTTAGGAATAGAGGCGATCACTTCCAACAATGGAATCATCTCCGAATGGTAGAAAGCCGCACCTATGGCAGTGACCTCCGTTGCGAATGGATCTTTCTCCGCTTCAACTTCTTGAACCTCGTCGCCATCCAAAAATAGCAACTTCTGATGCAAAGTCAATGGGACACACTCGCAGGTGTGAATCCAATCCCACCTCAACAACGTTGCATACGACGGACGGCTGTCTATTATCACAAATGCTGAAGATACTTTCTTTGTACCAATTTTCACCTCGACAGTAGCAATGCCCTCTGGCTTGTACGAATTTCCTATAAAATCTGTGGCCCGTACCAAGGTTGGTATTAAATCATCCCTTGTCTTTCTCAACTTCCTAAATGTCCGAAATGACATCACGTTGGCAAACGCGCCGCCGTCTACCAGTACTCTACGTACAGATCTTCCGTCTATTAAAGCTCTAATGTACAGGGGCTTTACATGTTTATTTTGCCCGGACCCAAGTCGATCAAGTGAGACTGTGGTTACTACGTCATTCCACTCTACAACTGGCTCTTCATCCATGATCACTCCCTCGTAACTTTCCTCTCTTTCCGGGGCTTTGAACTCGGATGGCAACAACCCAATGACCGATAATTGGCGAGTCTTAGCATCAGGCTCCTTCGGCTATGTAGTTTTCGTCACCAATCGGCGTTGCTAATTTAGAGCAGGTCCGACACTCGGTGTAGAATAAACCAAACAAGGCTGCAACTCTTGATTTTCTCAAGGTTATTCCTTCTATTCCTCAACTTTCGAGGCTTTCTCGTCTTGATTCATCATTTGCCGAACCTCCATTCCTGATTCATTTTACTTATCCTTCAATCAGTTTCCTTCATTTGCCCCCGCACTATTCTGACTTGGCTGAATGCCTTCAGCTTCCAGCCTAGCTTGTAATCGTCTCATTTGTGTCCTTCATTTTTTAGACCGCGTAAGATTACTCATTGCCCTCCTGGTATTTGCCTCTGGTGCATTGACTATCCACTTCTCCGAGTCCACTGCTGACGGAGGCTTTCGCATAATTTTTGGGGTAATGGTAATATGATCAGCGGGCGTAATAGTCCAAACTCGCTTTCCACTAGCGACTTTCACTTCAGCCATAGTGGCATTCCGCTTGATACCTGAGCTTGGAGCCACAACCTTAGCCATCACATTATTGTATTCCGGCTTAAGGGATGGCCGAGCTTCCTTGGTGTTTGGAATCGTCACTTTCACATTAGGGCTCCGCTTCACGACTCTAGATTTCTTGCCTCCATCATTACCATTAGGCGGCCTCCTTACAGCCAGCCTATCAAAGACTAAACCCCGTTGTGGCATCCTAGGTCCGAGTCTTTCATGAACCGGCTTCTAGAACGGTTGCTTCCTTTTTTGTTGTCTACCGGGACCTCCGCGAACATGGTATTAATGGACGGAGCCGGAAACGGATTTGCATCCACTTGCATGCTTCTCTCTGCTAATTTTAATATGCCCTCATCTATGAATTTTTGGATTGTGTTCCGTAGGTACGTGCAATTGGCGGTAGCATGTGTGTAGCTTCCATGCCATTTACAGTATGTATTTCCTTTCAGCTCCTCTGGTGGCGGGACTCGTTGCTTGTCCCGGAGTTTGATTTGTTTGTCCTTCAGCAAATGATCAAATATTTGCTTAACCTTAGACACATCGAAGGTATATTGCGTACCCCCAATCTCCTGGCCCTTTGTAGGCATTAATTCTGGACAAGAATATGTTTTTCCTTTCAGCAGCTCAGCGGCCAACACATCTTGGTCCTGAGAGCACTCCTCATCGGCTGGAATTTCATCATCTGCGCAATATGTCACTCTGGTTTTTCCATCTTTCTTCCACCTTTGAATCGCGGCATCCCGTCTCTCTCAGATAAGCTTGTTTGCTCTCATTGCTAACGCGCTTAAATGCGAAAAATCCTGGAAATCTTAAACCCCTAAACAATCCCAAAGGTCGGATCGCATATTATCCACTGCCATTGTGGTTGCCTGCTGTTCCGGAACTTTCACCGTGCACCGCATTTTAGCCTGCCAAAATTTCTCCAAAAATTGTGCCACAGGCTCATCATACCCCTGTGTTACAGCTACCATATGGGATATCGTAGTCTCAACTGGCGGCGCATAAAAACGGTCATGTAAAAGTCTCTCCAAATCTGACCAACACTGCACGGTACCTGGGGCCAACGACGTATACCACGAAAT